TTTATTTAACTTTATTTATTTATTTATTTATTTATTTATTTATTTATTTATTTAAATTTGACCAGAGAGGAATAGAGTGAGAGAGAGAGAGGAAGTGTGAAAGCAAGATGCCAGGTCTGGGATTTGAACAACAGTTGACCATGTGGGAGTCCAGCGTCCCTAATCACCATGCCACTTGCTGGCCCCCAGATTAGTACTTATCTTTAAGAAAGCACCTGTCAGATAGAAAATGGTTACTAAAATTCTTTTTAATAAATATATAGATCCTTCTCCTTAATTTTTTCTAGTCTTATTTATTTATTTTTTTGTTTATTCCGCCAGAAAGAGAGATAGACAGAAAGAGACAGACATCCTTAATAGAATCCTCATGTCCGGGCCCTGCAGGCCCAGGGAGGCCCTGGGCTGCAAACTGGGAACCTTCCCATGTTGGCCCAGTATCACATATCCTTGCATTACTGCTGTGCCACCAGGTAGGCTCTCTCCTTAATTTTAGCCCTGTTCTAATGCTCTAGATGAGTCCTCCAGATGAAAAAATTCCATAATCATTTCATTTCAACTGAATATAGATCATACTGGTGCCAACCTCATTTATGCGAAACTCTCCATATCAAATGACCCTCCCCCAACTTTTTTCTATCTTGCTTATACTATTGAAGAATAAAGGTCATGGTTTCCTAGCTAAAGATAATACTCAAATACTAACTAAATATTTTTCACAGGGTAAGTCTATAAGGCACCCCAGCTTTTGGAAGAAAAATGAAAACTGATCATTCTGATACCCTGTACACACAAGCCAAGAATCTTTATATTGAAAACAGCTGCTGGACTGGCAATTTTTCAGGAGTCTTCCAAATGTTGGGTGCAGGGAAGACTCCATTGCAGCAGAACTTCCAAAGACAGGAAAATGGTTATATGTTTCCCCTTCCTTGAATGAGTGTTGTGAGAATTGAGAATGTTTTCAAAGAAAACAACGGAGACTGCACAATACTAAAATCTGGTTAATTCAATCTCATCAGTGATGGATCTTTTAAAATATCAATAGCATTTTAGAATTTTAGAGCAAAACAGCCCTTGGCGATCATTCAGCAGCGTCCCTTTGTTTGATAAATGAGCAAAGAGACTCAAAGTTAATTGAATGAATTTTCCCTGGTTATGTAGTTTGCACTGGCAGTGTAGGACTAAATTCAAGATCTTTAAGTTCTGAAATGTTTTCTCTACATCATGGTCTTTTTGAGAGGGGTCATGCTGACATGGCCCCCTATCAGAAAAGTGCTAAGGACGAGAATCTCAGGAGTATCACAGAAGGACCAGGGGACTATGTGGTCTCATCCCCTAATTTCCTCAGTGAGAAAATGCAGAAAGATCATATGCAGACAGCTGGGCTAATGACTTGGTGAATTCAGATTCTTTTAAGAGTAGCACTTTCTAATAGACCTTTCTGCATTGATGGAAATATCTAATGCAGTAGCTATTAAGCATTTGAGATGTAATTGGTGCAACCGAAGAACCAAGTGATCAACTTTAAGTTTAAATTGTTACACGTGGCTAGTGGCTATCATATTGGATAGCATAGCTTTAGAGAACTAATCTAGACATATTCATTCACTAGGGATGTTGTACTATCTTCTGTTAGGATTGGTCATTCAAAAACTACCAACATTGCACTGTATATGTTTTATAAATAGCAGAAGTTCAGTATAACAAAGTGAAGGGAAAAAATCATTTATATTTGTGATTATTCAAGTCACACTAAATTAAATGAAAGTCAAGTCATTGCAAATAGTTATTTGCTTCTAATATATCTATAATTTCTATTACCCTGATGGAGAACTAAAAACATGGGAATGGATAGTAGCTATAATCCTCCTGCATTTTTTATTGGTTTAACTATTCAGATGATCTATTACATGAATACTGTACTAATATTTATTTCCAAATATGGTAACCTCTAAATGACTTGTAAATTACAATCTGTTAACCCCTTTTCAGTTAAATAATTTCTTTCAGAGGCATATGTTAATCACAAATAGATTAAGAAAATCGGCCAATTAAATAAGCCAGGCAGTTTCGCTTTCTTCTGCCACATGTGGCCTCAGAAGCTAACTGAAACATCTCAACTTGCCCACCAGTGAGCTGAGTCCTGTATCCAATTAGTTGCAGCAAATTATTAGAAAAAGAGAAGCATTGTTGAACTGAGAGCTGCATGCGATATTTAGATTTACAAACCAATACAGTATAAAGGCTTCCTAAGAAGCTCACATGCCTCAGTCTAAAAGACTGGCTCCTTCAGATGATACCATTGGTTCCTGACATCAGTCTGCTATAGAGAAGTCAAGCAGTGGACATTCAGAGAACTGATTCAAAGGAGACTGCTTCCTCTGTGGCATGTTACTACTGAATGAGCTCAAAAGACCAATGTTCTTGTCTCAGACAATTAAGCTTTCTCATCCTGGTAAAGTCTGGCCTTGAAGACTTGTTTTTCAATGTCCATCTGCCAAGATAAAACAGAAAGTTTTAACCAGATAAAATGTGCCTATGTGAATATTCCTTCCCCCAGTCCACACATACTTTTTGGATGGCTAAATCACTTCTTAAAATATCTTTGATGTCCTTCGCACAAGCCGAGAGTGGCCTCTACTCATAGAACACTCTGTATGACACATGTGCAGGAGAAGGCACTGTTGAAAATCGGAATTTCAAGATCTGCCCTATTATCTAGTTTTGTCTAAGACTTTTTTTTTAATAATGGGGAGTTTTGGAAGCTGAGAATCATAAGGGAGGCTGCACACTTTATCTCTAGGGAATTTGTGGTAAAAACTGTCTCAGAAAGCACCATAACCACAGAGAAGATGAGACCAGATGAGTCTGATGGGCTCATGAACACAGAGAACTACTTATGGACGTTTTTTGGACACGCATGAAAGAGGCTAAAGCAAATTGTAACAAAGCTTCTAAAAGTTGAGACACTCTTTGATGTGCGTCATTAATTCAAGGACAACAGAGAGTCAACAGAAATTATTAAAAAGAAAATCTTTGTCACATTATGAACATTTTTTCATCAAAATCAAGATTCTTGCTAATAAAGTAAATAGTGATTTTTTTTTGATGGAAGTGGGACTTGTATTTTAAATCAGCAAAGGAATATAGATATCTGAAAATCAGTATGTCAAATTATTCAATCCAAACCTCAAGGTATTCAAGCTGGGAGTATTATTTTCTACAATCAAGTGACAGAGAAAATATAGATATGAGTCTTTTAGTGACTTGTGAATACATTGTTACTTCTAACAATCAAGCAGAAAATAATATCTTGGTTCAGTGTAATTCCACATGGTATATGCACTGACAAGCTGCTTTGAAATGTAATTACTTCTATAGAAATATAATCCTTTCACATTTTGTTTTGTTGACAAATAGACCAGGCAGACGCCAGAAAAGTGTCGATGGAATGCTTTTCTCAGAAGCATATGCTTCACTTTTGCCAGAAAAGAAGAAAAACCTTGATCAATGGGTCCGGGTGTATCATGAGACACTTAATCAGAAAGACATACAGATCTTTCTTTTCCATAATCATGAGACCTGAGATTTTCTCGAGGGATGTGTTCCAACATGAGAAAGAAAATACATAGTTCAAAAAGCCCATGTTTTCAATTTGCTGCCACATGGTTTAAATTATCTTTGTATTTATTAAGGGCGCTAAATAGGCAGCTTAATTTAGGGAGAGAGGTCATTCAAGTTGAGAAAAATCATGTTTAATCCCTTAGCTCACTACAGGTTGATTGTGCTTTTTAAATGCATGTAGCCTCAGCTAACGAAATTCCCCATGATAAGAAGGTCCCCTGTCTGCTTCTATATTTGTCGGCTGCCAATAACAATGGAAACTTGTTAAGCTCCTGGCTCCAGGCCCAGAGTCTCTGGGCATCTTCCAGAGTTAGGGATTTGTCAGTTACTTTCTCTTTACATTGTCAGTGTACTTGCCTTCAATTTGGGGGTCACTCTGTTCCTGGTATGCCATCCGTTTGTTACATAATTGCAGGGCATTAGAGCTTCTTCCAGTGCATATGTTTACCTTGGTGATCTCTCTGGATGGGAGTAAAGTTGGTATCTTATTCTATTACTGCATTGCTAACAGAAATACCTGAGACTGGATGATTTGTAAAGAAATAGAGGTTTATTCAGCTCACAGTTTGAAAGTCTGAGATCCCCGGACCAACTTCTGGTGAAGCTACATGGACGGCAGCTGTCCATAAGTCTGCCTGCTCTAGTCTCCTTTCTCCTCTGATAAACACATCCCTTATGACATTATTATACCCAAAGACCCAACCCTAGGACACCATGAAGGGATTACATTTTCACTTAACATCTTTACAATACATCTAAGTCTTAACATGTGGATTTATGGGGACATCTAAACTGCAGCAGTGGGTCTGTGGGGAACCATGGGGAAGACGTGATTAGATGTGGAGAGTTGAAAATTTGGACACTTACTGGGTATTTAATGATATTAGAGGATTCTGATTTTTTTATAATGGACTAGTCATTTTTTTATAAAGAATCCTTAATATTTTAGAAATTCAATAAGAAATAGTTCAGATTAAATTGTGAAATGTATATAATTTGTTTACAGTAGTATAAGAGTGAGAAGGAAGATAGAAATAAAATTGACTGTGAGTTAGTAATTGTTGAAGGAGATTGATGGGTACACAGGCATTCATTAGATTATGTTTATTTTTGTATATATAATTAAAATCTCCTTAGAAAAAAATTTTAAATGAAAGGGGGCCAGTAGGTGGTATAGTGGTTAAAGCATTGGACTCCCATATGGCTGACCATAGTTCGAGTCCTGGACCCAGCAGCTTGAAACTCATGCTGGGTGCACATGCATGCGTGCCCAAAATCCTGAGAGGAAAATAGAAGAGAAGGAATTGTTCCATGGCCATCTCCCTCCCCCCACCGAAGGGGCAGAGGTAGTGATTTCTAACTTTCTGTCTTTCTGTCTCTGGCAAGTACATGTGACTTATGCAAAAATCTCTTTAAAAAAAAAAAAAAAAAGAGGGGGCAAAATAAAAAGTGCCTGAGAAAACTATAAGATCCCTAAATAGTTTTCTCAGGCTACCAACAAATCCCAAAAGAATAGAGTGAGAGTTTAAGTATCCTTCAGGACTGTGGAGCATTTTTCAGCATCTATGAAACAGTACTTTACAGGGCTCCATTCTTTGCCCTGTGTTTTATAATGTTTTGTATTATATGGTTCTTTGCTCTATCAAAAATTGCTGGATTGGACCCATGCACTGAGAAACTCTTCTCCACATGCCTTATATAGATGGGGTTTAATCCCTCTCTCTTTGGGTCTCTGACTTGCACCAGGCCTTATGAGTCCCATTTTTCCCGAGCCAAAATGCCCTGAGTCACTTCTCCATGGCTTCCGAACACAGCACCAAAGGATTCAGCATGTGGGTCTGGCTCAAGATGTACACATGCATGTCTCTGATTTCCACCTATTTTTATTTTCAACAGAGCCTGTATGGCTAAACAATGGCAGGAAGTGTCTCTCTCGGTGACCCCACAGCAACCTTCCTTCCTCCTGGTCCCCTGCTGTGGCTGTGGTTGTCTCATTCCCTTCTGTGTGCTAAAAGCGGTCCCTTTCATAATCTCCCAGACTCTGGCCCAAGTCTTTTCTCTGACCTGCAGTTATTTTGACTACTGGAGTATGTGCCACATTTTTAAGCAAGCTGAGCAGTATCAGGTAAAGATTAGCTGGTGACGGCTCCAGGCATAGGCCTTTTGGTTCCCTGTTCATCCGTTCGTCCTTCCTTCCTTCTTCTCTCTTCCTTCTTTCTTTCTTTCTTTCTTTCTTTCTTTCTTTCTTTCTTTCTTTCTTTCTTTCTTTTTTTCTTTCTTTCTCTCTCTCTCTCTCTCTCTCTTTCTTCTTTCTAGAGAAACTTTGGCTATAGGGCGTGTGCTCACTGGAGAGGTACAGAAACAGAGAGACAAAAAGCAAGAAATCACCCCCCAGAGGGGTTGGCCACACCACAATCCCTTCTCCTTCATTCTCCTCTCAGGATTTGGAGCACATATGCACATGTGACCGGCGTGAGTTTCAAGTCACCAGTCCTGGACTTGAACTGTGGTGGACTACGTGGGAGTCCAGCAACAAAACCATTACACCATCTGCAGATCCCAGGGTCCCTTGTTCTCAATTCAAAGGCATGAGGCACTCTGCTGCCTTTGGAAAGCAGATGTTAGCCCTCATCTAAGACAGTGTATATCATGGGCTCTGGATATTTGCATCCAAGCTCCTAGGACGTGCTCTGAAGCCGCAGGTGCAATATGTTTTTCCTTGAACCACAACGAGCAGAGGTTCTTGAGGAAGAAGAGAAGCATATTATGAGACATGTTATGTCATGTCATTAAAGATCAAGAGACCAAAAAGGCAGAACAATCCTGTACAGAGGACAAGGAGAATGAGGAAACACTCATTTCCTTCTGCACCTGAGTCTCAAGTGCCCAAGAATCTATTATATTTGACATCATACTTTTCCCTAATTGTTGAATGGAGCATTAGGTTAAACATGAAGAGGACTTACCTGGCAGTAATGAAACCTGAGTTCTTTACTCAGCCCTGCCACTCACCAGCCATCTAACATGGGGTGGACTTTTAGTTCATTTATTTATTTAGTATCAAGTATCTACTATGAGTCAAGCATATTATTGGGCCCTGCAGGAATAACTCATAGATAAGAAATGGACTCTATTTTTAAGACACCTATGGGGAAGCAGAACCATAAATAACATTGACGATAACACGTATTATAAGATTTATGGTATAAGGTGCTAGGGTCTCCAAAAGGAAGGGCTTGTTCTACTTGGTACATGGATGGAAGATCAACAAAGGCTCAGCATGCCTCAGCTTTGCTGTGTTACCATAACAAAGATAGAGTAGAGCGTCTTAAAATCACTCTTTTTCTAGAACTATATGGTTCTCCAACTTTATATTATTGGGGGACCACGGTATGGGAATGTTGGCTATTTGCCTATAGTCCTGCAAACAGTAACAAGGTCAAGGCTGGGGCAGGGGTTTTGTGACTCCTAATTCAGGGCTCTTTGAATCATGCACTAACTCAGTCCCAGTGCTGAGTGGCCTTATACAGATAATTAATTCGAATATGTCTGCTTAGCTCATACAAAACAGGACTTGAAAGCTCACCAGTAGTTCTCGACTTGAACCTAATTTTTGAACGAAGGGAAAGAACTGTTCTGCAAACTCTCCATTTTCTTTGCAGCACATGAGGAGCACAGGGCTCTTTGCAGAAGTCCCTTATGGTAAAAACAAAACAAAACATAGTGCTCAGTCCAATAAACTTGCAGTCAACCCTAGCCCAGAAGCAAAATCCCATGCAGAGAATACAATCCCTTGTTCCTCACAAATACAAAAGGGTTTTTTTATTTGTGAGTAGAGCTTTCAGCTGTGCGAATAGACCATTGTTCATTAGGCGACTTGTTGTAAATTCTACTTAAAACTTGTTTTTTTCCACTGAAACCCTACATTTTTTCTTTGTGTACCTATCAATAGTAAAGTTCCAAAAGCAGGAAGAAAATGTAGAGAATGATGGCGGCAGGAAGAGAGAGAGAGAGAGAAAATGCACTCAAGTTCAAATGAACCTGTAGCCAGTGACATCTGCACTTACCCTACTCCAGTTTGGACAGACTATAAAAATGCCACATTTAAGAGTTTAATGAACCTTGATTTCTTGTCAGATTAGCAAACTTTTCACTATCTGACTGTAAAGAATCTAATACTTAAATCTCAAAGGCTCAGTTAAGAGGAAAAAAGAAGCAATTACACAACTCTGAGTTACTCACCTTCTGAATCCCAAAACCTCAGTTGGAAGAGGCAGGGAATTGCTAATTGAGCCATGAAATTTCTTCACCCAGTTTTAGCTAAGCACAGGGCTGTCCAGGTAACGGCTTCATTTTCTATCATCTCTCGCGCTAGGTGAAATCAGGGATTAGGTCCTGATCTATGGGATGCAATTTGTAATGACATGTAATACTTTTGTCTCTTACCCTTCAGATAATAGGGTATATTCTTCCCAGGTCATTTCCCTCTTCCCAGTATATAAAATAATGAGAACAGGAGTAGTCACTTTGGACCCAGAAATGGAAGCCACATATTGAGAATGTTGGTGTGTCCCTTACAGCCACTTATGTCTGAGCAGTAAAGTGAGAGAGAAATCCCAGCTTGGCAGCTTGAAAAACACACTGGGCATGTGTGAGTGTGCCCAGAATCCTTACAGGTGCGAGAAAGAGAAGAAGAAAGGATTGTGGGCATGACCAAGCCTCATCAAGGGATTCTCTCTCTCTCTCTCTCTCTCTCTCTCTCTCTCTCTCTCTCACACACACACACACACACACACATCTGCCCTTTGGCATTAAAAAAAGATACTAGCTCTTTATATGTTGTAATTATTTCCATTTTGTGAATGTGGACAGTACCAAGTGTAGTGCCATAGGTACAAACAATGTTCGGTTAAACCACAGCATTTTTATAACAATTTAAACATGACAAGCTGTATTTATTGCATCCAACCAAACAGATATTCTCACTTCCAGACATGCCTTGATAGGCCCTTTGGAGAGCTGTAGTTCAGGGCGGCTCCTCTTACAATGACTCACTCATCTTTTCTCTGTCATCATCTCTACCTGGTTTTAAGGCCACTGTCTTCTGCAAGCAATCTGTGATAAGTGTTGCTCAGGATGAAGTAATGTGCCACAAGTTTTTGCCACAAAGATAGGTAAGTACTTTAAAAATATCTGTCTCTTTGGTATTTTGGGATACAGACAGTGTGTCTAATAAAGCATTTCCTCAATGCTGCCTGGGCATTGAAATTACCATTTGAAATATTTAGTGACCCAATACTCATCCAGACTGCTAAGTCACGTGTGTGTGTGTGTGTGTGTGTGTGTGTGTGTGTGTGTGTATAGGGAGAGCATATTCATTCTTATCAAGTCCCCCATTATTTATGTATGTGCAAGTTTGAGAACTACTACTCTAGACTCATATTCCCATTCCTAAGATAAGTAAAGAGGCCTCTACAAAATCGATACTTGTCTTCTCAGTGCAGAACTGAATATCAGAGTAGTAGTCAATAAAAGCTCACAAAATGAATAAAAAGATGCATGGCAATTCTCAAGATTTCTGAGCCATCTCTAATCAGTAATTGACCATGCAAAACCACAGAAGTGGTGCTTATGTCACTTTAACTCTAAACCAATGGCTTTCAACTTCGGTATGCCCAAGGATCACCTACAGAGCTTTTTCAAAACTGTATATCTGGGAACCAGCAGATGGCATAATGGCTATGTTGCTGGACTCCCATGTAGTCAACTGTGGTTCGAGTCCCAGAACCGGTGGCTTAAATTCACGCTGGGCACGTGTGTGAGCCCAAGATCCCGAGAGGAGAATGGAGGAGACGGGATTGCAGCTTGGCTGGGGGGTGGGGGTGATTTCTCGCTTTCTATCTCTCTGTCTCTCTCTGTCTTTCTGGCAAGCGCACATGCCCTATAGCAAAAACCTCTTTAAAAAATCCAAAAAACTGTATATCCCTGGGCCCACCTCCAGAGGGCCTTACTGAAGAGGTAAAGTGAAGGTTCGCAATCCATTTGGATCAGCACTCTGGATGATTCTCTTTGAAGAAACGTCTTTTGAGAAACACTTTATCCAAATTGTGGGTACAAGATGTTATGCCATAGTTAATTTTAAAGGAGCTCTATCAATTAAAATAGATGATTGGCTTTAATACACACAATCACATGAATAATTAAAATTTTGTCCACAATTTTACCAAGAGTAAAGGACCTGAGAAGCTAGCCCAGTTGATGTTACAACTTCTACTTTGGAGGTACTAGTGGATGCTTATCCCTCTATCACTTACTGTAGAGCCCTGTCACTGGGGTGGTCTTCAAGTCTAGAGACATTGAAAGAATGTAAGTCAAATCATGTAGTTCTAGTAAGAACAATTTATTAACTAGAGATAACTACAAAATAACTTTTCTTTTTGTAAAGTATATATATGAGAGGGCTTCAAAGAGTTCATGAAAAATGTGTATTTTGAAAAAACTATGCATGGACTTAAATATTTTTGCACCAAAATATGCTCATACTTTAATTCGATTTTTCCAGACTTTTTAAAGTCCTCTTATAGGTATTCCCTCCCCTATTCATAAAGCAGGCTGAAGATAAGAAAACATTGGTGCAATATGATGAGAGATTATTCTGGGTCAAACCTGACTAACACTGGATCAAAAATCAAAACAGTGGGGGCTGTCAGGTGGCGTGGTGGTTAAAGGCACTGGAGAGGGGACCAGCAGTTGGCGTAATGGCTATGTTGCTGGACTCCCATGCAGTCGACTGCAGTTCGAGTCCCAAACCAGGTGGCTTAAACTCATGCCGGGTGCGTGTGCATGCATACCCAAGATCCCGAGAGGTGAGTGAAGGAGAAGGGATTGTGGCATGGCCATCCCCCCTGGGGGGTGATTTCTCGCTTTCTATCTCTCTGTCTCTCTCTGTCTTTCTGGCTAGTGCACGCACCCTATAGCAAAAAACCTCTCCAAAAAAAGAAAAAAAAAAGGCACTGGACTCCCACATGGCTGACCACAGTTCAAGTCAGGAAACTGGCAGTTTGCTTTCTCACTTTCCCTCTTCTCTCTCTCTCTTTCTGGTCAAATTGAAAATGATAATGATAAATAAAGTTAAATAAAATAATTTAAAATAAAAAATTAAGACAGCAATTTTTAAAAAGCTGACTTCAAAATAATAGGAATTCAAAATAGAAATTAGTGTTATAAGATAGAGTCAATGTTTAAATGTTATATTGTCATTGGATTCAGATTTCCTTTTGCACTTCTGCTTGACAATTTTATAAACTTCTCAATGAAAATCATACTCTTTTTAGTATTCTTCTTTGCTGTCCTTTGGCATGAAAAGTAGAAAATTCTTTTATGCTACAGGAAAATAAGCTATAGAACCTGATCTCAGGTCTCTGCCACAGGTTTATAGACCACACACAAGGGGCTGTTGGTGTCAACACTCCGCAGACCACCTCTCACCATGTCCCTGAGTGTCGTTCACAAGGGTCATCCTGTAGGAGTGAAAGAAGCTTGACAACCATCTGAATACACTAACAGGACCAAGGACCCCAGAGGTGCATAGCCATGGTCAAATGTGTGCACCGTGTGTCTCATGCTTGCATGAGGTTTCTTTTAAAAGTGTTAGGGAACTGCTCAACCAGGATCAAAACAGTAACATTTCTAGTAGATAGTCCCAAGTTTTCAGCTTTTGCTGAATCTCCCATTGAATTTTATGCGCTAGACAACTTGTACCTCAAAGCCGGAGTGACATCATGGAAAAAAATACTCCTCAACCAAAATTGCTGAGATTGGCGCCATGATTTGTAATCCTGACGGAGAAAGCCACAGTCTCTTTTCATTGTCGTCTTTGTTCAGTCGTCTGTCTGCCTGCCTACCATTTCTACCTTCTCTCCACTCTGCCGCTTCCCACCCCCACAGCCCACTCCTGGGCCCACTCATCACTGTGCGGTAGGCAGCCAGAGGGGTTACACTTTGTCCCTTCCTCTACTTTCCTCTCATAACACTAAGCCCATCCTCCCACACATACCACAAAACCAAAGGAATGGTATGAAAGCAGATGACACACAAGGCAGATGTGTGACCAGCTCAGACTTTAGAGCCAGACAGCCCTGAATTCCAGTACCGATGGGTCACTCAGTACTGTATGGCCTTGGACTGCTTATGTTAACTCCCTGAGCCTCAGTTTCCTCATCATCTTTGAGATTTCAGTGAGGCAATGCATTCAAGCATGGTTCTAGCAGGCTCTTAAGTCAAGGTCTCTAAGGTCTCAGTCAAATGGAGGAAATATGAAAGGACTTCAAAAAGTTTGTGGAAAAGTATATTGAAAGTATGAGTTTACTGGTGCAAAACATTTTTCCAATTCATGAATAGATTTTTCATAATATCCATTTTTGGAAAAGTGCTCATATTACCAACCATAAGAGTAGAAGTGATGATGGAGACTGGTCAAGGGTTTTAACATATAATCTCTCAGGCTTTCCACAAAGATAAGAACTCATAAAATCCTTAATCACTTGGAGATAGATGACAAACCAGTACTGGGTTAGTAGGGTTCTAGATACTTACAGGCATGACAGTCTGACAGAACAAAGCTGTTGATTTATTTGTAGCATTTTGATGTCTTCCATTTCAATGATGCTACTCTGATAAGTAAAATCATCATTTGGTTTATAACATTGTCTGTATATATGTGTGTAAAAGAGGGCAAAGATCAGTCAGCAGTCCTGGATTCTCGTGCAAGCCCCACGAGTCTCATCTGCCCTTTGGCTGGCTGAGGCGTCACCAATGACATCAGCCAGATGGCTGCCACCACTCACAACCCCTAGGCTGCTAAAGTTTAAAGGGCCCTTGCTTTCTCTTCCTTGGCCGCAGATGGAAACTTTGGAGTCTCTAGGGGTGGGGAATGTTGGGGGAGGATTCAGTCAAGAAAGGGAGTCGACACAGAGTGGAGGCAGTAGTGCCAGCTATTCATGTTTCTGTGACTTGCCATATAACAGTGTGGGCATTGTTTGAAGTCACATAGAAATTGTCCTACCCAGCCCTCAATCATATTAGCTGCCCAGTCATTTTTCCACATTAATCATTCAAACTGACGTGAGTAAATAATACCATATGTGGTCGTGATGACAGTTGTCTCCACAATGTATTCGTCTCAAGGTACTCATGGCTTTTACTAAAAAATAAAAAAAGTGTCAGTGAATGACTAGAGACAAATCTGCAGTCAGGATAGCTGGCTATCTTTATGAGGAGCAGTATAAAAACTAGAAACCTCATGCTGGGAGAGGCTGA